TCGGCCTCTGGTAGCCATGGCTATGGTCATGTCAATCTTCAGTGGCTTACCAATCTATTTAGCAATTGCGTGTAAGACCTTCTCTTGGAAGTATTCTAGCGGAAGCTCCGGAAACCTGACTCAAATTGTTGTGGTGGTTTCAAAGGCTTCCGATGCCTTGAAGTTAGGCTCTCATGTTCGCACAGTAAGGTAATGGTCCATGATGACCAACGGCCCTCCTAAATAAACACGTGCACAGTTATCCAAGGACGAGAATTTAAACAGAACATAATTGTTACCTAAATTGATAGCATTGAATTCTTCTTGTAGGCCCCATAGGTTCTTTACTCTTGTGCAGAGCATTTTGCACCCAATATTTTTACCTAGTAAACGGACTATCAAAGTATTGGTCTAGGGCTTTCGAATTTGTTCCAACAATCTCTTAGGGAGATGTATTTGCGGAACACCTGACTGGGTCTATTGAGAGTTGCCGTCATGGATGTGGGTGTCACCCTCGACATCTTCCTCATCTGCTGAAAAGGAGTCCATGGCCTCATCAAAGTAGAAATCATTATTTTTAGGCGTTGCTAAAGCGTCTTTAAACGATTTTTGCTTCTGGCCCTCTAGCTGTGAGGTTTGAGCAACATTCTCTACCGGTGAGAGGGAGGCAGATGAGGTAGGGATTTCAGCCATAACCATTTCCTCTGCCTCTGAGACCTCTTTGCTTTTGATTTTCTTTGTGCTGCGTATCAAATGGTCTTCCTCTTCTTGAGATTTTGTGATTGGATCTGGGTTGAGGGGAGTTGGGACCTACTTACATTGGTTGTATATTTATGATGTAGATGCATTTGTTGTCTTTTGGAGATTGGACTCACTTTTTCTTTTGACTATAGAGAAGTTTGAGGAATCAGTACAAAAGAGACCTAGACAGATCACAAAACACGAGAGTATAGCTTAGCTTTAGTCCCATCAATGGCATAACGAAAAAGAGCTAATGACGACCTAAACTCCAACTACACTTTCGACTTTTCACTAATTAAAGTACGAAAAAAGTACACTCTTTATTTTATCTAATTACTTTAATTATTGTGTTTTTCAACCACACTATTTATTTTAACTTATCACTCAAACTAACTTAATTAATTTTTAAACCAAAAAATACTAATTACTGATATTTTACTAATATAAATTTGTAATAATAATAAATTTGCCCATACAAACATACAAAACCTGTAGAGTGAGGAGGAAAAAATACAAAATAAGTTATTCCGTAATTCATCAAACAGAATTGAAAGAACATATAAAATTGTTACATACACATATACATATATAAAATATATAAAATTCTAAATTGAAGACATAAATATATAAAAATCTAAGACATATACATACATATTTGTTTAGAGCGCCTCTGAGGCTCTTCAATTGTAGCCACCAAAAAAGTAGGATGGTAAAGTAGCTAGCCTAATAGCTAGCTCATTGGAACTCAAAATTAGAGTTACATTGGCTAAAATGTCTAACAAGCCTTTTGTAACTATCCATTTGGAGATGCTCTGGTTTGACTATTATTTTGGAGTTAAAAATGTATAAGATAATAAAATAGACTAAATAAGTTAATAAGATAAAATATTACATTCAACTTATAATTATTACATTTTTTTTTCACTAAAATCAAAAAAATCAAAAAATCCAAACCAAACAAGATTAAAAAAACCAAACTAAAAAAATCTCAATATAAAAAAATTGATTATAGCAACCAATGGCCAACGAAATTTAAGCCTAATTGTCATCGCAGAGACATCTCTTCTTAATCAAGTCGTACGAGAGTAAGCCCCCAACCACTTACTTGAAGCATCTTCAACAAGAATTAAAGATGCTTTAAATTTTTATGCAATTGGTCTTGTGTCATCATAAAATGAAGCTCCAGCATAATAGCTAGCACAGTAAATATGTTGCCTCGTCTTGTCTGGATTAGCTACATGTAAAATGTTTTAAAAGTACAACAAATTAATTTTGAAAATATGTTGAAAATGAATAAGTAAAATATAATACACTAATGCTACAAATTCAGAAAAATTTATCTAGGAAATTAAGCAAAAAAAGAGAATCAATGATTTACATCTATTATAAGTGTGATGTATCTTTCACTAACACTACAAGAAAATGGGGCTTAAAAGACGGAACTATTTGCGACGGTACCGTCTCAAAAAACAGAGTATTTGCGACGGTAAAAAATGCCGTCTCAAAAAACAGAGTATTTGCGACGGTAGAAAAATACCGTCGCAAAAAAAGAGAGTATTTGCGACGGTATTTTCTGCCGTCGCAAATCCCCGACTTACCTCCGACGGCAAATTGTGCCGTCGCAAATGCTGAAAATACAGACATTCCAATGGGGCCAGCTCCGCCCCCAATCCTACCCCAGCTATCCAAAGTGCCCACCAATCTAGTGGATTCACCGTTTGAATTTGAGGTGGATCCTACAGCACTGAAAGTGAGCAAGTTGGAAAAGCTCTTCAAACGGGCACAAGGTGTGAACTCCATCCCAGATATAGAGGATGGCTATATTGATTCGGTAGTGACGTTGATAGATAGATTCAATATGCCACACATAGACTACTTTGATGGCTCCGGTGATCCCGTTTAATTTTCTCAAAAGAGTTTTTGGAAAACTCTAACCTAGCATAGTGATTGTGGTTTTGAGACAGCTTCATATATATACAGTCACAAAATAGTTTGAATAAATTCAACGGTATTTTTCTGTCACAAAAAAAATAAAAAAAACGATGTCGTCTTACTCTTTTAATATAACATCTCTTTTCATTCATTTTTTCATCTTCCTGTCTCTCTGTATTTATCTCTCTCTGTTCTCTTTATCTCTTTCACTCATCACTCTTCTTTCTCTGTCTGTCTGTGTATCTCTCTCATTTTCTCTCTGTGTCTCTCGCATATCTTTCTTCTCTCTATCTCTTATGTCTTCTCTCTATCTCTCTCATTTATTTATTTTTTTTCTCTCTCTTATTTATATCTCTCTCTATCTCTCTCGCCCATCTCTTTTTTTCTGTGTCCCTCTCTCGCTCATCTCTTTTCGCTCTATTTCTCTCTTTTTGTCTATCTTTCGCTCATCTCTTGTTTCTCTCTCTTTTTCTATCTTTCATTCTCTCTGTCTATGTCTCTTTTCTGTTTATCTCTCTCTCTCACTCTCACTCTCTCTCACTCATCACTCATCTCTCTCTCTGTATGCTTGTCTATTTGTGTATTTCTCCCTCATTATATTCGTCTTGCTCACTCTCTCCGTCTCATATTCTCTATTTATTGAGCTTCTCCTCGATTTATCTATCTTTTCTCTCATCTCTTTTCTGTTTCTGTCTCTTTCGTTCATCTCTCTATCTCTCTATCTCTCTCGTTCATCTCTTTTCTCTCTCTGTCTCTTTTTCTGTCTCTCACTCTCTATCTTTTTCTCTCTTTGTCTCTCGCTCTCTCTAACTCATCACTCTTCTCTGTTTGTCTGTCTGTTTGTCTCTGTCTCTCTCTTTCTCTCTTTCTCTCGTTGTCTCTCGCTCATATCTCTTCTCTCTATCTCTCTCATCTGTCTTCTCTCTCTGCCTCTCTCACTCATCTCTCTTCTCTTTATCTCTCTCGCTCACCTCTCTCTGTCTCTTTCTTATTTATCTCTTTTCGCTCTTTCTCTCTTTGTCTATATCTTTTCATCCATTTTTTCATCTTACTTTCTCTCTTCTCTTTCTCTCTCTCACTCATCACTCTTCTCTCTCTGTCTGTTTGTCTATCTGTCTCTCTTCTCTCTATGTCTCTCTCTCGCTCATCTCTTTTCACTTTATTTCTCTCTCTTTTTGTCTATCTTTCGCTCATCTCTTGTTTCTCTCTCCTTTTCTATCTCTCCTTCTATCTCTCTCTCTTTCTCTCTCTCTTTCTCTCTTTCTGTCTATCTCTCTCTCTCTCTCACTCTCACTTTCACTCTCTCTCACTCATCACTCATCTCTCTCTCTGTATGCTTGTCTATTTGTCTATTTCTCCCTCATTATGTTCGCCTTGCTTACTCTCTCCTTCTCATATTCTCTATTTATCTATCTCTTCTCTCATCTCTTTTCTCTCTCTGTCTCTTTCGTTCATCTCTCTTCTCTCTATCTCTCTCGTTCATCTCTCTTCTCTCTCTATCTCTTTTTCTGTCTCTTACTCTCTATCTTTTTCTCTGTTTGCATTGCTCACTCTCTCACTCCCGTCTTCTCTATTTACTGAGCTCCACAGAGTATTTGCGACGGTAGAAAAATACCGTCTCAAAAAACAGAGTATTTGCGACGGTAGAAAAATACCGTCTCAAAAAACAGAGTATTTGCGACGGTAGAAAAATACCGTCTCAAAAAACAGAGTATTTGCGACGGTAGAAAAATACCGTCTCAAAAAACAGAGTATTTGCGACGGTAGAAAAATACCGTCTCAAAAAACAGAGTATTTGCGACGGTAGAAAAATACCGTCTCAAAAAACAGAGTATTTGCGACGGTAGAAAAATACCGTCTCAAAAAACAGAGTATTTGCGACGGTAGAAAAATACCGTCTCAAAAAACAGAGTATTTGCGACGGTAGAAAAATACCGTCTCAAAAAACAGAGTATTTGCGACGGTAGAAAAATACCGTCTCAAAAAACAGAGTATAAAAAAAAAATGAGTCACAAAAAAATTATTTTCATTGACCACAAAAAATTAACTTTATTTTAATGGAAAATATTATCCCTACTTCAAAAAAAATAATAATTTTTTATTCATTAAAATAAATATGAAACAAATAAATTTTCAACCTTACTAAATGTAAAAAAAAATAAAATTCATCAACTAAAAAAAAATTATTTTAATAAAAAATATTTTTTTTAACAATTCTTCCGTTGCCAAAAAAAAAATTTTATTATTTAAATATTCATTTGTAGAAAAATAAAAAGAATTCCAAAAAAATTTCCATCCCCCCCCCTCTTTTTCCATTCCCACTCGGGTTCTCCTACCCAAAATCCCCAATGTCAAAAATCCCTAATCCCTTCCCCCTTTTCCATTCCCGCTCGTTTTTCATCTCATCAATCTCTTTCTCACTCTCATTTTCATCTGCACAGATCGACTCCACACCGATCAAACTCGCAAGATCGACTCCTCACCGATCGACCTCACTCTCTCATTGCACCGATCGATCTCATAGGTAAGCTTCTCTCTCTCTCTCTCTCATCTCACCAGTCTCTCTCTCACTTCATCTCATCAGTCTCTCTCTCACTCTCTCATTTTCGTCTGCACAGATCGACCTCGCAAGATCAACTCCTCACCGATCAACCTCGCAAGATCGACTCCTCACCGATCGACTTCATGGATAAGCCTCTCTCTCTCTCTCTCTCTCACATCTCATCAGATCTGTTATTTATTTGGAATTAAATATGTTCATTTCTGTTAGGCAATCAGATCTGTGTGTGATTTTGATGGAGAAGTGTGGGTTGTTTAATGGAAGATATTTGGTTGGTGAGGTGAAGTGAAGTGGGAAAAAAAAGAAAAAAGAAAAGAAAAGAAAAACTTTACAGTTTTTGCTATCTGATGCAAACATTCCCCATCCAAAGCCCAGAAAGAGAATCACATATTTAGTTGTAGTGAAGTAAAGTAGGTGTTGATTGCAATGGAGGTGGAGACAACTGTTGTAATATTGGTGGCTAACACAACAACCATGGTCATCATGGGATGTTGGAAGTGGCAGTGATGACAATATGGTGGTGGTGGAGGCAGCTGTGATATTGATGGTATGGGGCAGTTTAGGTAGTGTTTAGGGGGCATCTTGAGAAAATGGGAAAATATTTAAGAATTGTTTCACAAATGGGAAAATATGGTATTATGAAGTTCTTTATAATTTTCCTTAACTTAGAAATCTAGAAACATCTACAGTTCCGAGCATGCTTTGAGCTATTCAATAACCTCGTTTGGTCAAACTTAGTTTCAGCATTTTTAAATTTTGAAACACATGCTTAAGCGGTTGTACTTAGGAATCGTAGGGTGTTTGGTGAAACTTTTTGCCTTTTTAGATTATTTGTTTTTTCAGCTCAAAATAAGGCAATTTTTTTTGAGTTTGGTTTGAGTTTCTAGTGTTTTTCTATCTTAAACTATGGGACTCTCTGATTCTCTAAATTGGCTCTGCATATGTCGTGTGACTTGTGCCTAATAAAATAGGGTGGAAGTGGTGGTCTTGGGGCAAATTTGTATTATAATGGGCCTATAAAAAAAGTGAATGGATCATGTAAGAAAAGCAACATCCTAAAACCTCAATGAAAGTGGAAAACAGCCATGTCAGGTTTATTTCGTTAGTTGCTTCACTATAATTTCCCATTCCATAGTGGTTGTGTTTTTTTTTTTAAACAAATTAATTTAACTTATCATATAGCCCTTGACATAACAAAATAGCAAAAAAATGAATTTATAAAGGAAGAAAAGAAATGCGTGAAGCACTGGGTGAAAAAAGAAATGAAGGGACTGTACAGATGTGAAGCCCAGCGTGCTCGGAGAATTGATAAGTTATTGTTATTTAAAGTCCTGTGCATGGAGAATGGGCCTCTATCCAATCATAGTTGGACTAGCACTAGTAGATTATTGTTATTTAAAGTCCTGTGCAAAATAAAGTAATATAAGCAGATGACTTATAAAAGAGAAACACATAGGCTTATTTCTTATTATCTCGTCAAGGGATGCTACTATTTGTTCAGTATCATCATGTTTAGCCATGGAATTGATTGAAAGTGTCAGCCACTAGGCTATCCCCAATTAATGTTTTCAAGGACAACTGAACATTGTAACCTGAACCTTTTTGGCACGAGGAAAAAGAAAAGAAAATAAAGAAAAATGGGGAGGCGTTATGGATCAGTTTCATAGGATAATAAAACATATACCTTAGTTTTTTATTCGAGAATTTGTAGTCTGCATTGTGGGATTCCTGCAAGAAAATGCCTGCATTATAATTTCTGATATTGTTTCTGAATGGTGATTAATAGGGAAGAACTAATACAGAAAAAAAATTGACCTGGATAGGTTAATGCATCATATGATTGTTCAGGTCTCTTCTGAACAGGAAACTTTTGCATGAGGAATTGGTGCGGTGTCACCACCACCACCACAATATGGTGTGGGATTCCAGTACCCATAATCTTCTTCTACAATCATAGCTTGATTGGCACGAAATTCGAGGTGTTGACGTCCCAAAATCACCCAACGGGGTCGGATTGGCACGAAACTTGGCACACACGACCGCCTAGGCACAAGAGACTTGTGGGAGAAGACGGGACTCCAATCGGGTTCCCGAATTAGGAGTTAGAGACGAATTTCACTCTAGGCAAACTAGTTCTTTAAGAAATTTGAATTCGAGGTGTTAACGCCTCAAAATCACCAAAAGGGGTCGGTTTAGCACGAAACTTGGCACACACGACCACCTAGGCACGAGAGACTTGTGGGAGAAGACGGAACTCCAATCGGGTTCCCGGTTTGGGAGTTAGAGCCGTATTTCGGTTTAGGCAAACTAGTTCCTTAAGAAACTTAAATTCGAGGTGTTAACGTCCCAAAATCACCAAAAGGGGTCGGTTTAGCACAAA